CAGTACATTATATATCCCGGTAAGGGAAACTAACCACTTCTTTTCCAAGTCCCACATTAACAATGATACAAGGTGAACTGAGAAGAATTAGCAATAACCCCAAAATTCTAAAAATAGTTTTTCCACATATTTATTCATAGATGATGAATAATGTTCTTTCAGCATGTATTTTAATAATGTAATTTATTTTACAGTGTGCAATAATGGTAAGTCAAACATACTGCTTGAAAAGTTCTGAAGGCTTAAACATTCCAAAATATACAGGTGAAAGTTTGATAGTTTTAGACAAGTAATTTAACAGTAAGGGCAACGTTCTACTCTGAAATTATACAAAACAGGGACAATAAACAGTCAGTCCAGAGTGCACTACTCAAACCTTAACACTGATAAAGCATTTCAGGAAGCAAAAATGTCTCACAAACATACGCCGGTGCCACAGGCTTTCCAGGTGAAACTTGCCTATGAATTAACTATTGATATTTAGAAAGATTTTGGAAAAGGTTTCTCCAGTCAGTGTGCTACTGCACTGAGACTTTCTCTCTCAGCAGGGTTCTGGAGATGGCAGTTCTGTAAGCTGGAAGCGTTCACAAAAGCAGCAGCAGCAGTACATTTCCAGTGCAGGGGGTACTGGGCAGAGTTCTCCACACCACGGGCCACGAAAACAAAGCACACATGAAGTGCTGGTAAAAAACCATTCTGATCTTGGAACCTGTATGATTCTTACCTCTGCCTGAAATCCATAATTAGACCTTTAAACAAGGAATACCAAAGATGCTTTAAAGACATAAACTGCTAACAGCAAAGGTAGATTAATTGAAAATGCTCAAATGGGTATAAAATTGTTCCGATACACAGGAAAAAAGAAAGGGAAGGAAAAGAAAAAGAAGATCATATCACAAAAAAATTACCATCCTGGTAATTATATCTGCTCAACAGAATTTTTGAGGAATTTCTTTTATAACATGTTTGGTCACTCTGTGTGGCAATCACAAGTCTATTTTTTTACACACTGCTAAAAGTATCACACATGTGGAACATTGCACTCATCATACTAGTTAAAATGAAACCAAGCCTCAGTTTATGCTAGGTAAGATTCCTTACTTGATACCCCAACACTTAGTCACTGAGAGCTGCAATTCAAACTGCAGGGTTGCATTTCAGCTAAAAAAAAAATATTAAAAAAAAATCCACAATAAACTGCAAATTTCTTTTGGCACCAAGCAAATTAAAATTCTCAGTTAGCATTAGAATATTATTTTTTCTAAACACATACTACATCGAATATACAATCACCACGAAATAAAAGTGCTCAGCTGAAGGATTTGTTTTTAGTTGTATATGTACATACCTAAAACATACACACACACTAAATATGAAGAACACAAGCAATGTATTGCAATAACAGCTCTCTTCTTAAAGGTAGATTTATGTAACAGTGTAAAACTTGGAAGTTATCTTTATTAAAAGCTCCCCAGTATCTCTAGATGTCTGCCTTCAATAAATCCTGGAAAGATTCTGCTCACATACTGAGTTTCACGGAATGTGCAGCATGTGTCAACTTCAATAAAATCAGTACAGTTCTTTAATTACCCCATTCACCCAGCAGCTGCTTTAACAAAGTATTTTTCTGAACATGTAAAAATGTAAAATACCAAAAAAATCAGTCATCTATGTGCGATGACTACTCAGCATCTAACAATAATGGATATACTGAAGGACAAAAACGTGAGTCATGCCAAGCCCTTAATTCTCAGTGACTGACTGTAAAGTACTTACAGTCAGCATTAAGCTTTTAAAACTCTAACCCTAATTAATCGTAAACAAAGAAATAAAGACCTCACAGTTAGTTTTAAAATCTTAAAAACTAGCACACAACTTTAAATAGTTTTGCTGCTTTTTCTGATTCACACAGCATTCTTCCAAAGTAAAACATGGACTTCTGCACGAACACAGGCTAACATACAAGTAAAAAAATAACACCTATTTAAACACAATTATACCTGGCATTTTAGACTTCAGTGGTAACGTACTGCTTGCCATAGAGCAGAAAGCATCCCCGTTAGCCAAAACCAAAGGTGCACAAGATTCAGAAATCTATGTGCACACAACCTCTCCCCTTCTCCAAACACTTCTGCCCACAAGTCTTTTCATGGCACAGGACAGCAAACACTCTTCCCAGGCTGTAGGGAACTTGGAAATGTACGACTTGCACACATTTATTTCAACCTTGGTGACAGCACAGCAACAAAAAGCCCATTAAAAAGAAAAAAGGCAGATAACTGGATATGATCAACTTGTAATCATTTTCTTGTAACGTGTTAGTGAATGGGTGCCAGCTAACTAATCTTAGTACAGAACAAACCTAATTTATACACAGCAGGGCGTTGTCAGATTATTTTAAACCTAATAATTATTTCTAGCAGCAAGGCAACATTAGATTTTGTGGAAGTACACACTTTGTATAAGACATTTGCTCTGAAAAGAAGATGTTCATATCTGATTAAGGTGGGGGGGAGGATGGATGAACAAGAGAAACGCACCAAGGCCAATGAAACGTAACATCCTGCAGAACCAATCAGTCAGGTGGAAGAGGATCTTTGAAAAAAGCATGACACTAGGAGACAGGAACTTTACTAATCCCCCCACCCCTAGTCCTTTTTTTAAAGAGAATCTTAAATAACTTTGAGGAACTTTTCAGTGGAAGCTGCCATACTATGAAGTAATTTTTCTATCCTGAGACTTTTCACTCCCTTCCAAGCCAAAAGGACTGTCTAAGACAACCCAGTCTGACCCCAGGTGTTGCAAAAGCCACAGAATTCTTTTACCCCACCCAGACATTTGTTCAAGCATATGCCTCTAAAAAACATTTCACCCTCACCCAAAAGATAGAAAATCTAATATTCCCTTTCTAATAATTTCTAATGATTCATTGCCCTTATGAAAAGTTTACTCCTTAGTTTGTCATTAACTGATTTTTATCTCTGTATATTGTCAACACATATTGCCTTGAAAATATTTTGCTATGTCTGGAGCATGCAAACAGTCATATAAAAAAACCAAGTGTCCCATTACAGATGTAAAGATTACTTTCAGGAATGCACCTTTTATTCAATCAAGTTAGAACTGAAGTTAAAGGAGTTTAGAAAGTAATCATATAGTACCTATTAAGAAGGTAGACTATGTTTTGTTCAACATATTTGTGGAGAACATACACAGAAATCACGTATTTATAGTAAAAAACACACAGTTACGCATGGGATTCCTGATAGATTCAGACAGAATGCAGCAATCACCAAAGAGACAGGAAGTCTATACAAAACCAACCTATTATTTTGAGTATTTATAAGAAAAAAATCTGACTTCTCTGAAGTTTTGTTTTCTTTTTAGCACTACATAAACAATATGGCAGCCTTAACTATAGTATTTGATCATTTTAAGTGCTTGGATGTAAAAATTACTTACTGGGGTAACAGCAGTTACAGGAGTGACAGTGTTCTATGTAAGACATATGTTATTTTGCAGTACTGGTCTACCTATGTGTTACCACTTAAGCAGGCAAAAAGATTACTAGGAATCACAAGGATTTCATTAAACTTTAACCTCAGTACTACCTACAATAGTCCATACTAAGATAAAAAGTATTATATGAGTTTTAGGCTGTCTCAGAAAGATGTGGAGGCTCATTTCCACATAGTTCATGGTCAGGGGAGACATCTAATAGTCCTTTGGAGGAGATACATTACTTCTGAACCCAGCACTGACACCAAGAGTTCAGCTGCTGAACAGGGCACACTCCTGGAGCCACACCACCCTTCCCCACAGAACTGCAGAGATTGGATCGGGTCAAACTGAGGATTTTGGAAACTACGTGCCTGGCACTTTGCCTCCTTGAACTATGCACACACCAAGCATACACTGCACATATAGGTTAACAAGGTAAGAAAGACTTTGAAGAGTCTAACATTTTCTCAACATGTACATAGTCAATTCAATCCAAAACTTGGCAGAAAAGCAATAGGTTTCCCACTGTCATAACTACATTGTTTTTACACAGTACCTTTAAAATATTAGTGCATTCTAAGTTTGTGCACATTTCCAAATCTCTCTTTAAGCCTTACTCCCGGGACCCAGCCTGTCTCATCCCTTCACAATACTATTTTTCAGACCCACAGTTCAGGGAACAGCAGATATGGGCCCCGGTCTGCAGACACTGTGATAAGGTAGTGCTGCCAAGGATAAACCAGCCAGGGGAGGCAGCCCTTTGCCTGCAAAGCAGCACCTGCCCTTACATGCCACTTCCTTTCCAGACATGGTACATTACTTTCCTCCTTACATAGGGTACAATATGGCCAGTGCACACTTCCTCATTCTTTACCTTGAGGCCAACTACAAGACAACAGGTGTCAGCTGAGCTGGACCTGCAGTGCTTTCTGTGACTGAACTATGTTCTTTTTATCTGGCACTGCCCGGAGAGGAGATGAAAGCAGCATTGCTGCTCTCAGGTTTCTGAGGATCAGAAAGCCTCTTGTTCCTTGTACGCCCGAGCTGTCTACAGACAGCACCCACACTCCACAGCCTTCTCACAAGAAGGCTCAGTGCTGAGAGAGCTGTTTAGTGCACTGTTTTTTCTCAGTATGCCTTTGAGAACTAGAGATTACCCACACCGTTATAATTTTGGCACAGAAAATATCAGGAGCTTGGACGCCTCATCAGACTCCAGCACCTACTGATTCAGCACTGGAGAAGCAGCGGCAGCCACTCCTGCTGGAGGTGTTTTTGCCTCTTCACTCAAGGCAGCTCATGTCAAAAGCAGTTCTCCTGAGGCATGTGTTGGCTGAGGCAGCCTCTTTGATGAGTAAAGCATGACTGTGTGTTCTCTAGATAATGGAAACATTTGTACCTTTCCTGTACCTTGACCAGATATGTTTTCCTGAAGTAGGTGTCTGCCATGTACACACACACTCACGTCATGTCTCTCCCATCGTACTGGCACACAGAAGTATTAAGTCAAAGAGCACAGGTTTATTTTGTATTATCCAAGATGTCCACAAAATGTGAATATTATACATGACATAACTGCACAGCTTTGTAACACGTCCAGTTTTTACCACAGCTGAGAGATGCAAATTGCACCTGCTGAAAAGGCCACACCAGAACCAGTCCTCAACAACCGTCTTGTCAACACACCACCCTTCCCAGACATGCCGTCCTCACAGCTGGTTTGTGTATTCCCTGCCCTTTCATCAAAGTGACCCAGGGTGATAGATAACTAATATTTGATGACACAATTAACTTTGGTTGAAATAAGTCTGGGTGTGCTCAGGGAAGCAGCTCTTCTCTAGCAGGGGCAATAACCTCCGTGCGAGACTGAGCAAGCAAGGGTGCAAGAAGCCTCCTCCTTTAACCAGCACAGCTGCTAACAAAGGAGGCTGTATCTCTTGCCTTCTCTGAAGTTAATCCCAGCAGTTTAAAGCACACTTGTGAAAAAAACATGAATCTGAAGTAACTCTAAAATGCTACTCCAAGGACACATTAGTTCCACTAGAGTCAAAGTATACGCCAGACGCAATAGGTCGGGTTCTAGTCGAAGAGACTGCAGAGAAAGTAAGAGCTAATAATTCTTAATTTGGCATAACATGACATTCCCAGCAGCTTCTCTCTCTTCTCCCAGTAATTGCATCTTGGCAGTGTACATATTTAAAAAATCATTGCACAAAAGACGTGTTCTGTTGGGGGGGGAGAATAGGAAAGCACCTTTCTTTGTGTCATTTTGGAAGTTAAAGACGCTTTTACTGAAAGGTAAAATATGCTGATCAAAACATGAAGGGGACAAAACCTCATTCATTCCTTATTTGTTTAAGAATTACCAAAAAGAAACATTTTTGCAGGAGGCTAAGGCAACAGTAATTTAGACAATAATAAATTGAGCATTGTAAGAATAACTATTCCATTGAATAAAAACTCTGGCAAGAAACTTTTCACATAGCATTCAACAGACATTCAAATAAATGAATGAAGTATGCAAGTTAAATTACTTCAAAAATAAAGACTTTCCAGAGGTTTACCATAATGACAACATTGTATAGAAAGATACAATAGCTCTTTGTAGCCTAAAAATTGTCAGTTTTATTTTACAGAGATGACTTCCAAAAGCATCTTGTCATGACAATCGAGTTTTGAGGAAAAAACAACCTGTCATTTGATAAATAGATGAAATTAACTGTCATTAAAGCCACTTAAGCACTCCTCCTTCCTGTTATCCTTCTCATCTTGGCAGTAACTGATAAGATTTCAGGGAGGCTCAGTCATTGATGGCAGGATCTAGAAAAGAAACAATTTTGCATACAGTTATTTGCATTCGCAGCTTCTAGTTACTGTATTTCACTAACCTGCACTTAATTGGCTTCCTTCTGCCACTGGCTTGAACACAATGGACCATGTACTTCATACAAATCACCACTCACTGCTGCAATTACACCTTATACCATGAAGATATTGAGGTGGTTGCAATCCTATCATCTTAATAGTGCAGAGGTAACATTAACAAAGTCCTGTTACCCACCAACTACCAATTGCTAATACCAGCCATGTGTGTCAGCCAGTAGGGACCAGACATTACTTATTATCACGCAGTTCATTACTTATGGGACAGGGCTGAACTTGAGACTCGTAGATTTCTCTGGAAAATATAGCTCTTGTCAACAGAAACATACCACCAAAATAAATGGAGGACCAGATGCAATAGTTACAACAGAATCGGTGAAGAGCAAAACTATAACTGCCTATTTTCCCCAAAAAATCCAAGATTTTGTTTGGCTAAGCAAGCAGCTTCAAGAGGAAAGGAGGACATGGATTGGGCAAAGAAAAAGATCTTAGCCTGGCAAATCCAGAATAACTCCCATGCAACCCCAGAAGGCTGTGTGCATGGCAACCCCACTTCCAACATACAGAGTAATTAATTGTATTCCCATAATAAAGCTACTATGGCACACCTCCACTTTGGCAGATTTCTGGTTGGCTTTAATCTTCTCCATCTTCCACATGCCAGGTTCCTCACACTAACTGGCCCTCACTGACAGCTGAGTTTTTAATGCCATACAGTACAAGTTTTGCCCTTTTTTCCACCTTTCTCTTGACTACACAGCCATTTAGTCATTGCACTGACATAACAACTCCACCTTCTCTACTGTAGTGTAGCTGTACATCTACTGATGTGACAACAGGAATTGAGGGTCTTCATCCCTACAGGAGCAGAGCTGCCTTTCACTGAGCAACTTGCATCATTTTTCATGCTGAGGACAGAGCATATGGTCCTTCGAAGGGACATCAAAATAAATATGACAGGTCAGTGCAATCATCATACCGAATGAATTCAAATGATGCCATATCTAAAATGAAAAGTGTGCACATAATAAAGATTCAAATGACAAAAAAAAATCCTCCACCCTTTATCCCTCTTTGAATTATTTATGAATTCTGCAACTCCAGCTGTTGCCACTGGCCCAAGGACAGTACTTCATTTTGGGAATGACACTTCATATTAAAAGATAAGTTAACAAAACAGAAAAGGACACTGTGGGCCCTCCTTAAAAGCCACAGGAAAGTACAATACATCTTTTCCCAGCATTTACAAAAGAAAATAATCAACAATCAATTCCGTTCATGTTTCTCAACTTGTTTCAATAATTCCAGACACAGATTTCAACACTCACGCATTAAAGTCAGCCATGCCTTTTTAACCATTGTAGTTAGGCAAGACTTTCAAAGCATCTTGGATCCCTTGCATATTTTTTTAGGGTTATCTCCATCTTGCAGTTCACCATAAAGCACTTGCCAGCATACCAAAGTCTCTGTGATACTATCAGCACTCAAAGTTAGTGACAGCTTTTAGTACATAAAATGGCCATCCCAAGAAAACGTGGACATTCTGCATATATGCAATATATGCAATACATTTTTTATTATGCAGTAATATTTTCATAAATTATAACACCTTCAAGATGTGCAGTTTAGGGCACAAAGAACAGTTTTCAACTAATCATGACATTTAGATTAGCAAATTCCACATACTGCTGTCTGCCCACTTATGGACTGCTCTGATTTGGGTTCCATCACATATTAGTTCCTAAATTTCAAACAAACAAACTGGCAGGGAGTGTGAGGACAGCTCAGCCAGTAAGCACAATTTCCATCACCTACATTAACGTGCTCTCCTTCCCTCCCACACCTTTTAAACTATGAACTCATTTTGGTTGGCTGATCTGTAGAGCAAGATAACACAGAAGCTGAGTAAATAGGAAAATAATATTTTGCTTTTTAAAAATCAACCATTGGTTTTGGTTGCTACCTTATTCATGGTGGAATCTGATTATTAAATACATATAGAGATCCGAACTGTTCCCAAAACTACCCACACCATTAACATCGCATCACCTTTCCACTACAGGAACATATTGATGCCCTGTGTTCATGACAGGTCTGAAATTAACTGAAATGGGTCAAAATTTGCAAGTTGCCAAGCCTTGAGGGACATAGGACCTGTAAATATTAGCCCTTCATGATTTACCACCAGCCTCTTCTCTGCTACAAAGGAGATTTCTGTGTTCTTACCCATGACCTTCATTTCACAGCTTTTTCTGCTTTTACCAAACTGAACAGCAGTTGGGTTTATGTTCAGCTCCTGGAAGATCCAAAATGCCATAAGAACTTTTAACCAATTAATTATTTGGGAATGGTTTTTGTCTAAGTATTTATTTTTTCTGGAAGTGGACTCACAATTGGCACAAATCTAACACCAAAAGGAAATATGTGAATAAACCTCAGAGCTTCAAAGGTACCTGGAATCTCCAGTATCAGCCACAAAGCTTGCAAGTAATTTGTCAGCTTTCTGCAACCAAGAATGCACCATTTGCCTCTAGTGGCAAGTATATGGTTCAGACCTGAGCTAGAATGCCAGACATTTAATTTACAAATTCATCTTTGGGAAAGGCAGCAAAGCAAGAGTTGTTACCTGTCTTGCAAGTGAAACAAGGTAATGGCTTGCAAGCAGTACCTCCAGCAGTATCTGCTGTTATTCAGTTTGGTACCACTGAGCTCATGCAGTGTTATTCAGGAAAAGGAGATGTTGTTAAAACAAATGTTTATTTGCCCTTCAGTCTGCATCAGAACTGGCACCCAGCCCTGAACAATCTGCCTCTTCCTCGCTACTGTGAGAAAGCTATGGAGAAAGAGCATTCCCCTCCCATCTCCTGCTGTTGGCCAAAGAAACAAAAGGTACAGAAACAAAGAAAACAGGCAGAGAACTTGGGATGTGCAAAATACCACTGAGCAGAAAATTAGGATTCAACATTGGAACATTTGTAGACTTCTTGTAACATTTAATAAGGGCCCCAAAGTCTCCTGTTATCAGGGCTACATATTTGAGTTTATTACTGCCTCACCATTAATAATTCTCCAGTATTTTGTAAATCCCAGGTGCTATGAACAAACCCTCTCAAAAGTACAATTATTTACAGTTGTAACACACATTTTTTTCTGAAAATTAACAAAGTAAAAACAGGAACCTATCTCACATTCCAGGGTTGCCATTTAACTCTCAATGCCACAGGTTCTCAAGTGCCTTCCGAAATACTTTCTAGCTGTGCTAAAGGAATGACATTTGGAAAAAATCACCTGTGTGCTGACAGGAAAACATCCTTCTGAAGATTTTCACAAGCTAGTTGGATGCAATTGAAGTCAGTCCTCAGAAAATAAGGGAAGTCGTCTTCATGCCCAAACATGCTCACTAAATGCTTCTGGCTATGACATCGTTTCATAATTGACACATTATACAAAAAACACCTCAAGAAGATATCTTTTTGTGTATGTCTGGATTACACAGCTATTTATACCCAGTGCCTCTGCAGAGCCTTCCCATTGTTGCACAACGCTCTTGAATACAAATGACCAATTGATCCTTTCACATGGTAGGGTGGTTTGGTGGGTTTTTTTTTAGCGTTCGATATTTTTAATGTTAAAAAAAAATGGTACCTCAGCATGGCCTTAAATCTAATCCTTACCCCGAACAACTGAAGTACATTCATATTAACCTATTAGATGCTTTTCCACACCACACCTATGGCACTGCATAAGTTACTGTAATTTAAATGAATTACTGCTCGAAAATTCTCATTTGGTAAGAAAAATGCAGTGCTACATGTTACAGAAAGAAAAATGTGCACTACGGTAACTAAGTTTTATAACAGTGTATCTAGGTGCTCATAAACCAGCTACTCTGAACTGTTAAAGGACACGAATATTAGACCGATCACACAGAACACGCATCATTATGCCAAGAAGTCAATAACATGAAATCAAATCTACAGTTTATTTAGATATATTTCCATGCCCATATTCAGAATCCACATTAAAAATGCCATTAGGCTGGCTGAAGAATATTACTGCAAAAGACATTTGCACCAACAGTAATTCTATCTCTGCCCTGGAAAACTTGCATTTTTCTCTTTAAATGTTTGATCTGCTGAAATATATTGAATAAAACTTGGGGGGAAAAAAAATGGGAAAAAACCAAACAGAAAATCCCTGAAGTTCTTTTGTTACATTATTCTACATATTACTACTGTTTAAGGATGAGTTGTTTAAGATTGCACATTTCAACTACCTAACAGTAAAGAATGAAAAGCTTCTTGCTACAAGCTAAAAAGAAAGTCTTTACCATGCTCCTTGAAGAGCTCATTTTCACATTACTCAGGCTTCATTATGCTGAATCAATATTCGTTTAGTCACTGGGGTTATTGACATATTTTAAAATAAAAGTATACCCTTCAGCTACTGCACTCATTACGGGTAATTTGTCTTGTCAGGGAGCAGGGAATATTATCCCAGTCTTTCAGGGGCTGACAGCCCATGGAAATACCTCCCCTTGGTTACAACTGTAAATAATTTTAAGGTAAAATATTGAAAAATCAATGACTGTTTCCTGCAATCTGTCACAAACAAATCAATCATAATCTGCACAGCCAGAGAGTATGATTTGAAGGAGATGAGAGCAGATGTAATTCTTGGCTGGAATCTCTCATTTCAAAATCACTTCACATAATGGTGTCATCATTTAAACACTTAGCAGTCACTGCAACTGCCACTCATAACATCTAGTTGGACAAAACCACAAGGAAGAGGAGGAGAAATGCCAGTGCTGTTATGTAAACAAACACTTTATTTCAATGGTTTCAACATTAGCAAATTTCACAGATATAACAGCAAGGCTCCCCTCTCCACAGAAGTCCAAGACACTTTTCTTTCTCAGTGGAAGACTGCCTATAAATTAGCCTCTCAAAATGCAAACCATTTTAAATTTTAAAACAAAACTAGACTTCATAAAAAGGTGAGCAATAATATCTAGTACTAATATTACTTCTAAAAATATTTCAGTTTCATTCACTCCAAATCACTCACAAGAGAATTATGCATCAAATTCTTAATAGATTAAGAAAAGAAAATTATCTGAGGTAGCTTTGTCTTTTTAAGAGCAATAAGGATTTCAATGCTTCTTTGTCCCCTACATATACATTTCACATCTAATTTTCATTAAGCACACACCAACTCAACTTTAGCATAGGGAAACCACTGCAGAGTACAGCAGAAAGAAAGTCATACTTACATGAATAAATTGCCAATGTATTTTCAACTTGCATTTAAAGATTAAATGTTGTATATGGAATAACATTTGTATATAAGATCAATTTATACATAAAGAATTAACTACTGCAGTCAGAATGCTATAAACTGATCTTTGTAAATGTGAATAATTTGTGTAAAACTAACCTTTTCATATAGAGTAACACTAATGCTTAGACTGAAATTCATTTCCTCATTTGTCCCCCCCCGACTACATTTTCACCCTGACACTACAGAGTTGAGAGAATTCTCTGCAGATCAGACATGACAAAAAAGCAGCAGACAGGATGAAACTGCTGTGCAACTGCAACCATGGGCCTAAGCCTGCATTCCTTGCACAAACAAAATTCACAAATGCTCATGGAGTGTTTCACTCTGGAGTCTATAATTTGAGCTCTTAATCTTTAATGTGCAGAGCCCTTTATCACATACTCATTTTAATCACATTAACCTTACCAACTCCTGAATATTTATCTCACAACTGTGAGACTAAGAAAAAAAAAAAAAAAGCAACCAAAAAGATGAAACTATTTTCTCTTTTCTTGGAAAAAAAATCCCTTAATACTGTTTTTAAAAATGAAATAATAGGGCATATTGTACATCAAGTAAACCTCTCCAAGGTTTGCCTTCCTTTAAAGCAGGCTTTAAGTCTCTTTATCTTCTACACGGAAAACACACATCTCTAACTCTTTATTGATACACATCAAAACTACTATTGTTTGTAACAGCTGGACAGATTCTCTTTCTTAGCAAAATAAACTATAAAAAAAACCCCCCACAACTCAAATCTTAGACCAGAAGAAACAGTGAGTGCCTTGGAGGCTAACTAAGTGTAAAATATCAGCCGTGAAGCGGATCAGCTTATCGTGGGGAAAGGCCGCCCTATCGCGAAAGGAAGCGGGAGGAGGCAGGGGACAAGTAATTGCTAAAAACAAAAGTAGCTCCTAGAAATGAGTTGCAGTACCTCACTTTTTCCCTGGGTGAGATCTATAATGAAGCTATCCCATAGACAGCCTCAGGCTCCTCAGCCCTTTCCAATCTCCTCACCAGCCGACGACGCTCGGGGAGGGAAGGCCGCGCTCGCTACATTAAGCCATGGTGCGAGGCAGAAACACTGTGCCACGCTGAACGTGTCAGCATCCTTCCCCACTGCCATTCCCCTTAGCCAGGCTGTTATTTCTTGTGACAATCACCTAATTAGGTGGGTCAAGAATTGCAGAAGATAGAAGAGATTCATTCTTCCTACGTGCCAGCTCTTCTATTTGTAAAAATGAAGGCAATGACTCTTTCCCTCCATTGTAAGGCACTTAATAAATGTTAATAATAATTAAGTCAGTCACATCTCCCAGACAACACCGTCAGATCTTTTATTGCAATATTTGAGAACTACTGGGCTCAGGAGGGAGCTCCAGACAGAAAAGGACTCACAAATTCCATCCTTCGTTGCAAGAGGTCACAGAGGGCTGTGCCACAACAGACATTTCACAACCACTCCCTGACAAGGGAAGCCCTGAGAAAAAAGAGCAGCACATGGTGCGGCACTACAGACGTTCATGGGTCAGCACTGTAAGTGCTATTTTCTGCTGGACAAAGCATTAAGATGCTGTAACAGCTAAGAGGACTCTGAAGTCTTTCTGGTTAAGAAGTTGAACTAGCTTCAATTTCTTGAATGAAAAGGTGGCTTTCTTCATTCCACCTTTATCAAGAAACAAAAGAACTACAGGCTATGGAAAAGCTGAAAAAAGAAAATACATTGGCTTAAAAAAAGCTATTAGCATTTCCTCTATTACCCACCATCTCCATTTACTGCTCTCACTCATAACGTTCATTTAAGCCACTGGTATATGTTCCTTTATTTAATGTAGCTCCACATGATCACCAAACAACTTACCAATGCAATATCACATCATGCAACATAACTGATATTACACTATTAGCAATACTCTACCTAATGAAGTTTAAAAGCCTTCATGTTTGGGCATTAAGGAAAGAAGAAGAATTCTGTTTTGAAATAGCTATGCCTTTCAGTTCTCTTCACCCCTTCTTCAGCATTGCTGAAACCATCTCATCTCACTGAGCTCACCTGGGGGACAAAAATAGAAAGAAAAAAAGAGCATGCTTATCACACCTGCAGTGCAAGATTTTCTCAGGAGAAACAGGTCTAAAGCTCATGTATTCGGAAACATTAATTCCAGGTTTTTTTAGAGACTGAACCTACTACCAAAAGGAATGTGCCACTACTGTAATGACTTGTTTAATGAATCATAACATACAAAAAGCAGACTACTTACCATTAACTCTGAATAGGACTTAATATGATTAAAAAGAGCTGCAAGCCCAGATGCATTCTGGTTTGTGTGAGGTCTCTTCCCGTACTCAGGAAGGTACGGGATAGGATGGACTGCTGGGTTCATTTTCCTCACTGTGAACCTCACTGCTTCTGCTCTTGGGTGCATTCTATAAAGACAAAAAAGTAGACATACAGAGAGGCCCACCACAAACAGTTGCCTATGGAAATCAAAGATCTGTGGAATGCAAAAATTTAATGGCATTTAGCTAATAAATCAGTAATAGCATTAATAATGGTGCTCTTGCTCAAAGGCACAACTATATGAGCACGGACACCAATTTAAATCTGAACATATCTGGGACAAGCAGAGAGTTCCAGTTAGGTAAACTGAGGCTGAAGTTACATGAACAAATCTAGGTCATGGGATGTGCCAGAAACGGAGGGAGAAAAGGTCCAGTCCCTTGCCTGCTACCAAGTGTTCCCATCCCTTTCTCAGTCAGCATAAAAGTCTCTCAGCCTTTCTGAGCCTCCTCTCAAAGATCTATCCAGGTGACCTCAGCTTGAGTTTCACTCAGGGACACAGTAGCACAGTTTATACTACAGAGAATATCAGCTGAATTCTAACTGAAGCAATAAATTAAATACTGAAATAAGCTTAAGAAAAAGCATAGATGAAAAGAATACCTTACAAATAACTTTTGAAACCCAGGCTCTACAGAGCTGTGCCTCTTCCCAAGAGACATTCACGGGACCTAATGCCTGCAGAAGCTGGAAGACAGTGAGGTTCTTACTAGACAACAGCCAGCAAGCTAGCACAAACAAAGTAATTCTTGCACTGCCAATATCATAAAGAAGTTGTAGGCACCTTTTTATAATGACAGAGTATTCTTAATAAAAGCTTCAAGCAGGTTTTACAGCTGCATATTATCCAATGAAACCAGTAATAAACAGCCCTGTAGAATTATTTAGTGCAACTCCAATACGCCAAGAGTCTCAGCCTCGGTTTTATTTATCACACAGGCTAAAATGTTAGTTCTTGGCTGTACAGTAGCAGCCAAGCCTGTAGCTATCTTTTATTCCAGCACATTGCCATCTGGATATTGATACTTTGCTATGGGATATGAAAGAAGAGCATAGTTACCTAATACAGCTTAATTGAAAACAGAGGACCTACATATTATACCATGCATTATTCTATACGAAATTAAATCTGAAGGGCATGAAAATTTCTGTAGGTGTCAGCAGAGATTATTTCAGAGGTAAATGCTGTGCTCTTGATCTGTGCTCAAAATGCTAAGAAATATTGCAAAAAATATGTGCTTATGAAAAGAAGGAGCTAGGTTTTGCTCCACTGTGAAAAAAAGAAGTTGCTCAGGAAGATGCATCTCCTTCAGGAAGAGTAAGAGAGTGACCACTCCCAAGTTTATTAGTACAGTAGACTGTTATAATAATCCATATTCACCTTGAAAGGTCCAGTTGCTTTGCTTTTTTCCCCTCAAACCATGACTTATGTACTATAAAACCCATGTTATTCTGGCTCTACGAATACACTCCCATTAATCTGAAAAAAAACCAGTTTCAAGAATCATTCACAATTGCATTGTCCACATTAAGGGACAGAAACTAAAAAGCTCTAATATTAATAAAAACCAGAAACTATTAACTGTTAAAAAGAACTTTTTGGGTGTAAGGTTAAAAAGTTTACCTGGCTCTATGTTTCTCCTCAGAGAGGTACTGCTGAGCTCTTGCAAACACCGGCCATAAGGACTGCAAATATATGTGAGTAAAGCAGATAAAGCACAAAACCTTTGGAACACAACACTGCTATTAAAAGTCACCCACCTCTAACACCCACGCAGCAGTCCAGATTCCAGCTACAGGAGCTCCCACCACACTGCAGCACCTGCAGTCAAAAGGGAATTTGCCACCATATGAGAGGCTATGGGCACACAAATGTCTCATAAAAGGGTACAAGGAGCCACAGCCATCCTTCCCACTGAATTGCTCTTCATTTGCTATAAGGACCAACTAACAGTAGATGTGGTTTGTTTTAAGTGAAAAACTTGTTCCAGACATGAAAGAGAGCAGTTTTTCACTTTTCACTGAGAGTTTATTTTCTGCATCTGTCCATGGAATTGTAAGTAAAATAAACTCTAAAGACATCCCTAACTTAGTCCATATTATGCCAACAAATTCAAGCAAATAATGCCATTTAAGTTAACTACAGGAAACTTCAAGGAAACTGAAATACAATTTCAGGTTCTCCCACGATACTGTCAAGATCCTTGGAGTTACATGTTCAATACAATAACTAGGTGCTCAAAAGGCTTGCCAGCTGCACTTCTGTGTTTTATTCCACTCACTAAAAAGGTTTGCTGAAGCAATTAAAAAAAAAAAAACAACCTGAAACTGATAATCAGGTTCCTTCTAGTGAACAAAAAATTACTTTACATAGGCTTCAGAGAAAAACAAAACTTTATCTAAGGTAACTAATACCCAATTGCTAGACACAGAAGAGTTATTCCAGGTGTTCACAAGTTTACACCTCGGTCTCAGATCACAAACACAGAGTGTGAACAAGGGGCATCTTGGGCAAAGTAAGTGCAGGCAAAAGGAACAGCAGAGCAGGGGAGGGTATCTTGCAGAGAGAGCTCTTCCTAAGACTGTTCACCTAGGCTAAGAGCCACAAAACACCAGCACTTCCATTGCTCTTAGTGACCCTGTAACTCCCAGCACTTCATCTTAGGGAAGCCAGCAGCAGTATCTGAAGGAAAGTGCCCCTAAGTTTTACAACCAATATTTTACATTCATTTTTTTAGCTCTTGCTCAGTTAATAATACACTGATTTAACACACAAAAACACAAGCCCCTCCCTCCTCTTTGCATGCTAATTAGTTTTACTTCCATGGTAGTGCAAAGATGAGAAAAGAAATTTCTTTTCTCTTCATACCTAATTAAAAAAAAAATGAATATTCACATGTATTTCTTTCTCTCTGTTATGAGTTAATGCTTTTAAATATAGTGTATAAAACATCTCTTATCAGATGCTTCCAGCAGCAGTTTTCATCTGAGTCTAAGGGGTTTATTTTTATAGGCCAGCCTTATACAAGATACAATATATGGGAGGGGGATTACTTTTAAAAAATTTTTAAGAGTATTCCCTTACAGATGTCTCGGTAACATATTCACAAATCGAACTGGAAAAACAAATTATTCAGTGAGTGTCTAAGGTCAGGTACTCTGATAAAGAAATATCAAAAAGGTTTTGAGAAAACAGCCTCCTTCTCATCTACCCCTGTAAAAAAAAAAAAAAAAAAAAAAAAAAAAAGTTGAAATGATCTCCTAATGCATCTCCCTTCATAATTCATGCCGAAAGATGACATTTTCTCAGGATCTTAATTAAGATAATGACGAACACCTGTGTCGGCATTCTTTGGCAAGACAGCATTATCCATCATAATCTTTTAAGTACTCTCAAAAAAACCCAACAAAATCGTATGACGGAACCAATCTGTTGCCTCTCCTTGCACTAAGTTTTACATCTCAGACACACACAAGAACGATTAGATCTTTAAAGACTGCAATAAAAGCGGGATCGTTAGATTTTAAAGTTTCAACAGAAAGTAGCTACTAAGGTAATTAAATTAAGGTGTATCATATCCAAAATACCCAACTTTAACTCCATTCACTACAAGCCACCTGGAACCAAACCACTCACAGTTAGAGCCTATCAATGGCTGTATTTTTAAAATACAGTTTGCTGTTATTTTAAAGACCCGTCTGCTTCTTTTTCCGCTCCCAGAAAGAAAATATTCACAGCTGATCCCTATTATATATTCATGCACTAATTTACTACGCTATTTTATACTGTGCCACATATGTTTGCACACTCTAAATGAAATTATGCAAAAGAAACCAGTGTAGAAAAACAAATATGCAAATTCAAATGTTACCACATTTTGGGTCACATTTTGTGCAGTCATCTTAAATCCAAGTTGCCCTCTTGTCAAAAACCCTACTGGAGTCTGACTACTAAACTAATCAAAGATCCTTTCAAACACCTTTGCAGGACCAGTCCATCAGACTGAAAGTTATAAAAATAGTGATTTTGATTATTTATTTAAAGGAGTTTAATTTAAATTCACATGCCTTTATTTAAATAAAATTAAGAGTGCACTTCCCATTATTAAGCAAGATTTTAAGGGTAAACATTTCTTCTATTGAATTAATAATTTGTCTTCCAAAAAATTATGAGAAAAATATATAAAGTCCAGAATTTTAATATCAATTTGCACCGATATAGTTTCACTGGCAGCTACAAAGTACACAGTCTCCTAATACCAAAAACGCATGTATACCTTTGAATGCACCTACCTTCAGTAAAAATGAAGAGAAGCAACACATGCATCCTCAAGCCCCACATTTGTTAACAGAACTGACAGAACAACACAAACAATGGTCTTGAAACAAACTTCTTATTTCCCTTCAATCAAATAGTTCAAAAGTCCTGCAAAGCAGATTAGTCTTAGGCTTTCACATTTTAATATGCTGCTATCAGAGGGAAAAGTTGCTGTGACTAGTCATTCAGTAGAGCTATCAATGTGCAAATAAAGCAGAAAATAGAGACATCCTTAAGAAATGAGTCTCAAATTTGATATAAAGTGAAGGTGACAACCACAGCAATAGAACTATAAACTAAATGTTTCAATATCTTGAATAATTATCTACAGTTCTTTTAAAACTGCAAAGAATATAATAGTGGCATAATGTAGTGAGAATGTCAGTTTGATAGACATTTACAATCCTGGCGGCATAAGAGTCCTATCACTACCGTTTATTAATCATCTCTGGTATTATGTTGCAATGCATGAAACTATGCATGAACTCACCACAGTTTCCAAAATGTACGCTTACAGAAGAAAGATTAGTGGAACATCAGAAATAAAGAGGGTAATTTTACATGATGTTAACCTTACCTCTTTCCTCAAAAAAGTCAGATGCCACGGCATGATGGTTAAAACTTCTGCTTCTCCCTACAAGAAGAAAGGAGCACGGAAAAGCAGTTAGTTATTTTACTCACATAGAAAGTGAATGTTAAATGTATAAAACTTGACCAGGCGATATCTCACTCCCCGAACACGGGGGGATAGTCAGAGGATTATGACAGAAGCGCTTTTGAGTGGGAAAAGAAATTCGGCGCTCCAGAGCGATCGCAAAATGCACCCGGGGACAAACACCGGTGACACCGTGCAGCTGAAAACTGATGAAAGTGCACACCTGTGTGGATCGAGCATGTAAAGAGAGCGTGCGAGCCGGGGACCCGTCCCGCTTACCGGGGCACAACCGCATGGATTTTGAGACGAAATTCCGTACGCTGTACGTTAAAAAATTAAATTAAAACAAACCAACCAGCCAAACAAACAAACAAACAAAAAAGACCAAAAATAAATTGGAAGGAGGGCGTCAGAAGAGATAGCAGACAGAGCGCGGCTCGTCAGCATCGGCGAGGAGGGTGCTGGCACCCACCTCTCCTTCCAAACGCCGCTCCCGCGACCGAAGCGGAGTCGCTGTCCCGGTGTCCGTGTCCCGTGTCCCGGTGTCCGTGTCCCGGTGTCCCGGTGTCTCGGGGACCCTGCCCCGCCCGTCAGAGGGCGCCCCAGGGCGGGGGGCAGCGCTGCCGCCGCGCCCCGCGGTCAGACCCGCGGCCCCGCTCCCGCACCTCGGGCCGGGCTGAGCTGACCTGAGCCGAGCCGAGCCGAGCCGAGCCCAGCCCAGCCCAGCCCAGCCCAGCCGAACCCAGCCGGGCTGGTGCAGGTCGGGAGCGGCCGTCGCGGCCCGCAGTGCCTTCGCTCGCCGTCCTGTCAGCGCCGCCTCCGGGCTCCCCGGCAAGCGCGGCCCCTGCACAGCCCGCGCTGAGGGACAGCTCGGCGGGCCCGTGCGGGGAGGGGAGCGCCCGCCGCCGGCCGGGGCACAGCCACTCATGCGCCGGGACGGCCGGGGGCGGGACTGGCGGGGCCGCGGACTGATGGGTACTGTAGTGCACTGTAGTGCACTGTAGTGCGGGGTAGTCTAATGCACGCACTGGAGTGTGGTGTAGTGCGGGCGGCGCCCGCCCCGCCGGCCGCGCTCCTGCCGCGTCCCCCCGAAGCCAGCGGGCAGAGCGCGCCTTGCCCGGCCAGCCCTTCCCTTTCACCCCCGGCCCTGCAGCGGGGCTGCCCGGCAGGTCTCAGCCTGTGCCCAGCTGGGGGGGCTGTGGATGCTGCCGCCGGGACGGAGTGCCGTAGAGAAGGAGGGAGGGAGAGAGCGGGGCGGTGTCGTTGTCGCCTCCACGGCGACACGGGAAGCTCCTGCCCCGGCCTGCCCGTTTTAAAACACACCCCCGCCCCTCGCTGTCTCCGCGTCCGTCGCGCTGGGGACAGAGGCGAGAGCATTAGGGTCGGCGAAATGCAAAAGTTACAAAAGAAAATAAATTTTAAAAACATAAATATAATTATATCGTCATACCTCCCTCGACCGAGGAAGGCACTGCGGGTGCGAGGGGGGTCCGGCCCCGTGGGTCCCGGTGGCCGGGGGTCCGAGGCGGCGGGAGCAGCCTTCGCCTCAGCAGCGAGGGGAGAAAAAAGAGACAAGGGAATAAATCGGGATATGTTTCTGTTGGGAAATATATCTGGTGGAATCATAGGAGATTACATCTCCTGATCGGGGGGATTTATCCCGGTTCATATGGTTTTAATCTGCTTTCCCCTCGACCCTTCTATAAGCCGGGGAGAGTGGGGGAGGATAGCCGCACATCCGCGGGCAAACCCTCACTCTGAGCGGTGCCTACGGACCCATCTCCGCCGCTCCCCTCTGGGTCTCCCTTCTCCCGCGACCGGCGCTGAGAAAGACTAAATCCGAGCCCTCCGCGAAGCCGAGCCCCGCTCCCGGCCGGACGCCCCAACATCGCTCCGCACGCACAGCCGCCCTCAACAGGTCCGGCTGTAGGGCGGCCCCTGCCCGCGGGGGCGACCGGCCACGCAGCCTAGCTCTGCCGGACCGGACCGGGCTGCGGCGCTCCCCCGACGAAAATCTCCTTTTTTGTTAAGAAAAGAAAAACGAACAGCACCACCACCACCCCCTGTATATCCCACCTCCAGTGATTTAATGGAGGGAGGGGCAGGGGCAGAGAGCACGAGGAGGGGTGGCTGTGCAGAGGGGGAGCCGGACGGCTAATAAATCTTATTAAAGATCTATTTTTTTTCATATACTGATTGGCTTGCATTCCGGCGCAGCGCGGCTCCGCACGGTATTTAGCACATGCAGAAAGTTGGAGCTGATCTTAAATGGCTCGGAGGTGACTGCAATCCAGGAGCCGGCGCACTTGAGCCTCTGAGCGCTGGGGAGGGCCAGGGAAGCGCGGAGCCCTCCCGCTGGTTGGGCCCGGCCGCGGCAGCCCAGCGGGGTCCTGCCAGTCCTTCCACTGACAACACCCCGCGAAGGAGGAGCCTCGCCGGGCCGCGCAGAAGGCGTCAGGAGCTGCAATTTCCAACTTAGCATCTTGGCAGGACCCTTCGGAAAGCGAGAGCGAGGAGGAAGGAGAAAAAAAAAAGCCCCCCAGTGCAAGGGGGAGAGAGAGAGCGAGAGAGAGATAGGAGGGAGTGGGGGGGTGAAAAAGAGGGGAAAGCAAGGGGGGGAGAAAAAGGAGGAAGCGGTGCCCGGCTGCAGGCGAAATCGGAGCAGCAGCCCCGGCGCAGAGCAAGGTGCCACCGCTGCCCAGCTGGCGAGGGCGGAGAGGCGCCCGCGAAGCCCCGGCCGCAGCCGCCCCAGCCCGGCAGCGCGGCCGCTCCCTCCCGGCGCCTTGGGCTCCCGGGTATATGTGTGCGCCTGGCCATGTCGTATCCTCAGGGTTACTTGTACCAGCCGTCAGCGTCCTTGGCTCTCTACTCCTGCCCGGCGTACAGCACCAGCGTGATCTCCGGACCCAGGACCGATGAACTTGGGAGATCTTCTTCGGGCTCCGCTTTTTCCCCTTATGCCGGATCTACCGCCTTTACCGCCCCTTCCCCGGGTTACAACTCCCATCTCCAGTACGGCACCGACCCGGCCGCCGCCGCCGCCGCCGCCTTCACTTCCTACGTGGTAAGAGCAGCCGCGGGCAGGCGGCACCGCGCCGGGCACGACGGCATCCCGCGGGCCCCTGCTCCCCCCTCCCGGGCCTGCTTTTTGTTCCCATTTTATTTTTGAGATCTCGGGGACAAAAGGGAGCGCGGCTCCCCGCCTCGCCGCCCAACTTTCCCGCATCGCCGCCGTGCGCTGCCGCACACTGTTGCTGGCGGCAGCGGCGGGCAGGGCCGGGCGCGGGGGGAGCCACCGGCACGGCCCGGGAGAGCGGGACCGGGGCAGGCAGGGACCGGTTTCATTCCCTATCGAAAAAAAAATATTTTAAAAAATATATATGTATATAAAACAGCAGTCGTAATTCCTCAACAATTAGCTTATTGTGATTGAAAAGGAAATGAACCCAGCACCGGTCGGCGATGGGAGAAATCCGGGCGATAAACCCAGGCAACTTTCCCCTGCACGGCGATAATTAGGCTGCTTAAATATTGCAGAGCTCTAATCCCATGGCCGCAAGCTGCTCCGCAGGGCTGTGCGGGAAGTAAAGGGGATGGCAGGGCACTGCGCCGCTGTGCGCGCCCGCGGGGCACCGCGGGGCCGGCCCGGGTGCAGGACATCCTCGCCGCAGAGCTGCGGCCGCCGCCAGCGCCCCGCAGCTCCCCCCAAAACCCGGCGAGTTTTGCTCAGCTTCTCCCCTCTTTTTAGGATCTGGGCAGAGTTTCACAGTTCCTTCTTTCTTTTTTTTTCTGAAATTTTTTTTCTCTTTCTTTTCTCTGGGCTCTTTTCCCTCCTCTCCCCCCGTTTTCTGTTTCTCTTTTTTCTTCTTTTCTTCTCTTTTCTTTTCTCCCCTTTATTTTTTCCTCCTCCCGCCCCAGGGCAGGCAAAGGACCTGCCCAGCCCGCCCGGTCGCCTGGGCCCGGCAGGTTGCCTGCCACGATCGCAGCGCTGGGAGAAGGGTCCGGTCCCCCTGCCCATGTCCGCCCCCACGCCGCGATACCCACTTGCTTTTCCGCTCCTGCATTTGGGGGAGAGGCGCTGGATTGCTGCAGGCAGCCAGTGGCCTCCTGGGGCCGGAGACTCTCGGCCCCCAGGAGTTCCCAAGCCCTTCCGCCCGTCCTCCCGGGAAAGAGCCGGGGGAGAAGCCTGGCAGGGCCTAGCTCCGGGGGAGAGGCGGGAGGGCGCGGGCAGGGGCCGCGGGCAGGCCCTGGCGCTGCCCTTGCCGTGTCATTGTCGCCCCGCGGCCGCCTGACCTCGCCCCGCCGGGCCGCTCTCCCCTCTCTCCCCAGGGCTCGCCCTACGACCACACGCCGGGCATGGCCGGTTCCCTGGGGTACCACCCGTACGCGGCGCCGCTCGGCTCCTACCCCTACGGGGACCCCGCATACCGCAAGAACGCGACGCGGGACGCCACGGCCACCCTCAAGGCCTGGCTCAACGAGCACCGGAAAAACCCCTACCCCACCAAGGGCGAGAAGATCATGCTGGCCATCATCACCAAAATGACCCTCACCCAGGTCTCCACCTGGTTCGCCAACGCGCGGCGGCGGCTCAAGAAGGAGAACAAAATGACCTGGACCCCGCGAAACCGCAGCGAGGACGAGGAAGAAGAGGAGAACATTGACCTGGAGAAAAACGACGAGGACGAGCCCCAGAAACTGGAGGAGAAGGGAGACCCCGGGACGCCAGACACAGGTAGAACGGCGGGTTTGGCCGGGTCACCCCGCCCGCGCCCTCGGGGCTGCCCCCGGCCCGGTGCGGGGCGGCGGTGGCGGGGCGGCCTGTCCCCCCGAGCGGGTAGCCGTAGCGGAGGGAGCCGGCGGGCAGCGGTGCAGGCCTGGCGACGGTGGGGACCGAGGGGTGGGCGGCGAAGTGGGTGGGCGGGTTTGGGGGGCGCAGGGCGAGCCTGAGAGCTGCCCCCCACCCCTCTCCTTTCCACCCCCAGGAGCGACGGATCCGAAGACAGCGCCGGGCTGCGAGCGCCTCCAGGAGTCCCCCGGCCCTCGGGAGGCCGAGAGCGGCTTCAGCGACTCGGATTGCAAAGAGCCGGCGGAGGAGCGGCTCGACGGGCCGCCCGTCCCCCCCAAGGCGCCCGGCGCTTCCCCGCTGGGACCGTGTCCGGCGGGCCGCGGGCCGCTGGCGGCGGGCGGAAGAGCCCCCGCCGTACCGCCCGCCCTCCGCCGCCGCCGGGCCGCCGCACGCCGCCGACCTGCACCCGCTGCTGCCCGCCGCCACCGGCGCCTCCGTCATCCACTCGCCGCAGCAGGCGGCCCTCGCCAAGCCCAAGCTCTGGTCGCTGGCCGAGATCGCCACCTCGGCGGACAAGGCGAAGGAGGCCGGCGGCGAGGCGGCGCCCCCCGGCCCCGCCGTGCTGGGCAGTAGCGGCCCGTCGCGTTCGTCGCCGCGGCCGCGCTCGCCGGCCACGCAGTGCCCCTTCCCCAACGGGGCGGTCCTGCCCCGGCCGCTCTACTACACGGCGCCCTTCTACCCCGGCTACACGAACTACGGCTCCTTCGGGGCCCTGCACGGGCACCCCGCCGGCGGCCCCGCCGCGGCCGCCCCCGGCGCCCACTTCAATGGATTAAACCAGACTGTCCTCAGCAGAGCCGAGAGCCTGGCTAAAGACACTAAAATGATCAGGAGCCAGTCCCAAGTAGACCTTTGCAAAGACTCACCTTACGAACTGAAGAAAGGTATGTCCAACATTTAATATCGGCTTCTCCTCCCTAACCCCTCCTGGGACTGTGGTTTTGTTCTTTTCTTCCTTTTTTTTTTTTTTTTTTAATTTATTTGAGAGAAATAATAAATTGCTTTGGCAGTTATTTTTCCACTACCAAAAGAAAAACAAAACAAACAGAAAAAGACCAGCTCCCCCCTCTATCCCAGCGCCCCCTTCAAAAGTTTATAGAGTCTATTGGAAATGTCTGGGTAACAACCGCCCAGAAATGTCTTAAGCAAGTGAAAAGCAAAGGAATGACATGCTCTCTCACACACACACGAAGAAAGATTTGTATTAAATCTTATTCTGTATATTTAATGTAGCTTTTTTGTATTTAAATTGATAATACAGTATCTTTGAAGTAAATTATGAAATCAAGACACCTGTACAGGCATTAATGTTGTTTTCGTAATATAAATATATACATTTCTGTGTCTTTTTCCAAATTGTTTCATAGTTTTAAAATATATATATACAAGTTTAATTTAATTTTTTTATGACTATTGTTTTTTTTTCCTTGGGTGTGAGTTAAAACCATAATGCAAAAACAGAACAAAAAAAAAAAAAAAGGAAATAGGTTATACGTATTAGATACAAAAACTGCAGCAGCCTTTGTAAAATGCAAATATTTAATTAAAAGAGATTTTTAACAGAATCAAAACCACTCTCTTTTTGCAACGGGCAGATACGTGCATAGCTGCGAAAAAAAAAAATATACGCGTTAAATGAGACGCGGTGCTCCATTTAGGACCTCACAGTAGTACCTGAAGTGGTTTTTTGAAGTGACAGGCAATTTCTAAAAGGTCGGGGGGCTCCGGAGGCGAAAGCAGCCCGCGGGGCCGGGAGAGGCGGCAGCGGGCCGGGGCCGGGCGCGGGAGGGACGCTGTTCCCGGAGGTGAAGGCTTAAATCAGGCCACGCACAAAAGCACTTGTTAGAAACACCAAATCGAAGCGCAGTCCCATCTTTTAACCTAATTACTTCCAATCAGTGTCGTGTTTTATGCAAAGCAATCAGCTGGTGAACTTTGCTAATGAGTTCGATTTTCTGCCAGATTTAGCCCGCGTCGCTGCTGCAGCGGTGCTACGGCGGCGGCCGAGGCCGGCGACTGCACGGGCAAATGCTCTCGGTGCGGCGGGGGCCGCCCCGGCCCCTTCCCTTCCCCCGCTCCCCTCCCCCGGCGCGCTGCCCCGCTGTCCCCGGCCCGCGGGACGGGGCGGTCCGGGGGCCGGCCGCGGGCGCGCAGCCCCGCGCAGGGCCGGCCGCGGGCGCGGTGCTCCCGGCGCTGGCAGGTAGGTGTCACACTCGGCCCGGGTTTGGCTCCCGCCTCCCGCTCGGCCGTGCGGGAGCCCCGCGGGGCCGCCGCGCTCCGCTCCGCGCTGCGCCCCAGCGAGTGGTGGGGCAGGGGCCGCGCAGCCGGGGCAGTCCCAGCTACCAGACGTCCCTTGGGTGCGGGGGAAAGAGAGCGCCTTGAGCTCTCTCCGTGCTGTTCCGCCGCTCCAAAGGCTAAGGCAGCGGAAAGTGGGTCCCCGAGTGGATTAGGGACTCCCCAGAGGCATTGAGCGTGGAACCTCGAACCAAAAGTCAGTCCCCGTCGGCACGGCTGTCCGAGCAGACCAGGTCCCCTCCGAACAAATAACGGCGAGGACTGTTCCACCACCCAGCTCCGGGGACGGGTCTCTCCCTGTTCAGTGTGGATTTCGTGGGTGTCAACTGTACAGTGACATTGCCACTGTTGATGTGATGGGAGTATGACTGAGACCGCTGGGGCTGGGGCTGAGACACCCCTCAGTTTGCTCGGGTTTTTTTTCCTTTACGAGCCAGATAATTATTTTGTAATCTCTTCAACTTTGTCAGAGCCATTTATTAGGTGTAACAGGTTTATTCATGCATATTTACGTTTTACGGGATTCTAAATAGTAGTTTGTATTTTGGGTTTTAAAGATCCAGTCCATGTTTGCTGGGTTATACAACTGTTTTTTAGATAATCTGTTTTAAAATCAAAATTGTTTGAAACTGAATCAAATATTCCTGGGATAATATTATGTTATTTTGTCATTTTATAAATTAGAAATTATTTTTTAAAAAACGCTCGAATTCCTCTTTTGGATATTTCATTTCCTGTCGGGGAGACCTGCAGAAAGGCGTATTTTTCGCGCAGCAGTGCGCTTTACTGTACTCACCTGCCTTGTTTAAAACGGGATAAAGTTCCCGCAGTGAGGGGTAGGGTACAGCCGGACCGGGCAGAAGCAGCCCCGATGTGCGGGTCTGGAGGCAAAGCGCCGCAGCCCGCCTCCCGCCCGGGCTCTCCCGGCACCGTCCCCACGGCAGAGATCGCCCCCGGCTGAACTCGGGGGAAACTCCCGAGCGCCCTTTGCTATAGGGAGCGACAAAGCCCCTTCGGACAGCGCTCCCGACACAACAGGTCCCGCAGAGGACGACTACCTCAAAATAAATAGGTTTTAGTTATTCATATAGGTATGGATTTTTTTTTTTAATTGTCGCTCTACCTTTCCCCAGCTGATCTTCCGATCTCTGAAAAAGCTATTTTGCAAAGCAGCTTAGGAGCTTCGCTCGTTCAAAAGCCCTATTCCTTATAATCGGGGGTATCCTGAATAGGTCTATTAGAGATCTCAATACGGTTTTCGTTTGATGTATAAATTCCTAAGGGAATTAACCGTTTCCTTTAGGTTGCAGCCTGTCGCTTATTTTAAACCATAACTATTATTGTAGCCCTATCTATTTCATACAACAGTTTTATTCTTCACCCTTTTCCCTTGCCACAGGAGATATACTGTACGGCCATTCTTTAACATAAGCACGAATTTCCCAGTTTCTTTTCCGTAGCAGAGTAGGGGGGGATGGGGCAGCGTCCGCCTTTTTTGCCTCTGGCATGTTAATTTGCTGTTCGGGGAAAAAAAAAAAAAAGAAAAAAGAAAAGAAAAGAAGTGAGGATACCTTAAAATAAAAATAACGGCTGCTGCCAGTGAAGCTGCCGTAAGTTAGTCGGGAGCAGCCTCGGGAGCGGCGCTCACGCTGGGAGCGGAGCCCTCCCGGGGCGCGGGCAGGGCCGCAGTTTGGCGGCGGGAGGGCTTCGCTGCCGCTGCTGAGAGCTTTGGGGCAGGCGAAGGGGTAGAGCGGGGCTGGCGGTGGGGCCCTGCAGGCTGGGCTCCCATCAGCGCGGCTGGCAGCAGGTGCTTGCCCACGGACGCAGGTGGGGACGGCCCTGCCTCGGCGGGGCGCCGCTCCGCGCCCGGGAGAGACCGCTCGCCCCTTTCCGTGCCCACTCCCTCCCCTTTCCGCCCCGCACCCCACGGCGCGGCCCTTGATGGGGCGGGGGGGCCCGCGACACCCTACACCGCCCGCCCCGACGGTGGGGGTCGAGCGGCGCAGGTGGCAGAGGGGCCGCCCTCTCCCGCAGGTGACAGCCCAACATTCCCCCCAAGACCCTTCAGCGCGGCCGAGAAGTGTGTTGGCCCAGCTGGCCCGGCGGGGGCCACGAGTGGGGCCGCAGGAACACTTCAGTGTCCAGGTCGACATAACAGAGGATCCGGGACACTGGAGGGGACATGCGGGGACTCCTGGCAGAAAGCGAGAGCCCGCCGGGCAGGGAGCGCAGCTCACCTCGGGGAGCCGGGGCGGCTCCCCCGCCACGCCCGGCCGAGCTAAGTGCCCTGTCCCCGGTGAAGGAAGAGACTTCCCCGCAGAAACCAGGGCAAGTGCCCCCGGGTCAGCCGTGCCCATCCCGATGGGCTCACCGCCTCCTCAGCGCCCGGGATGACAAGACCCCAGGGGGGCCAGGAGCCCGGTGCTGCAGCCATCGGTCCTATCCATTCTATCCACAGTAAAATTGTCTCTCTCCTGTAAGGAAACAGACGGAACAAGGGGTGCGGTCTGCAGCCGGCACGGCCCCCGAGCTCCGCCAGGGGCGGCGGGACCCCCCTGTACCTTTTTCCCCGGTTCTCAATCGCGGGGACGGAGGGCGAGAGGCGGGGAGCCTGGCGCAGCCCTGCAGCTTCCTCTTTCACGCTTAAAAACAAAACAAATCCTAATTTAGACCCTCAACACCCTGGCCCGTGTTTACATCTCCCCCGCTGCTCTCCCCGCGAGTGTTGCTTTTCCAATTGTCACGATTAACCTACGGGGCTCACGCGCGGCGCGGAGCCTCCGCGGCGGCCGGGACGGCGCGGTCGCGTCTAATTGGCTTATTGGACTTCCCCCCACACCCCAACCCCCCCGCCCGGCAAGAGGTTCTGAACAGCATCTTCCCATGTCGTGCCTAGAAGCTACGTGAAAGCCCCTCCGCCAAGAGAACATCAGACGGTCAGCAAGTTTAAAGGCGGCGAATAAAAAAATACCACAGGGGTTTGCTGCAGGGAAAAGTCCAGGAACTTCAACCCAAAACGGAGATGAGTGGGGGAAAAAAAAAAAAAAAAAAAGGGAAATCCCCCCAAAAAAACACACCAAAAAACACCTTCTCGTCCCCACGGCCCGTCCCGGTGCGCAGCCGCGGATATTCCTCAGCCGGCCCTGCGGTGCGGTGCGCCCGGCTCCGCGATATTAACCCTGCCCCAGCAGCAGCAGCCGTGCTCGGAGCAGGCTCGGAGCGGCACGGGAGTGCCGGGGAACCCGCCCCCCTCCTCCTCGCAGCTCCCCTCTTTCTGTGACCTGCCACGATTATTAGTAAGGACATCTGTGGCTGGCAAGGGAACAAGTGTTACCAAAACCAGAACCGGCTGTTTTTCCAAATGAGCAATATGTTAATTCCTCATCCCCCCCTCTGGTTTCTTTAAAACCTGGCACAAATACATCAATAGCGGAGAATAAGGAGCCTTTGCAGAGAACAAGTGGCAGTTTTGAATTTACCTTTTGTGTGCGCCTCAGATGCAATCTTGAGGCATTTTTTCCCTTCTCTCCCACAGAAAAAGAGTGTTAATCTGCCCTATCTTGGGACCCAAAAGGATTGGAGTGGAGTAGAAATTCACTAGAATCACATAGGGGAATAAGGGTCTTGCTTTATTGAATCATCAAATCCCAGGAATGAAGCTCTTAATTAATTATGGGTGCTAAAAATTCAGGCCAGCTGTTTCTTTTTACTTGGCTCTGACAGAGAAAGACAAAGTCTACATCGAGATCTTCTAAGGCGCATTCAGCATAAATCAGCGCCCTCGGCGGCGCTCCCGGCCGCGGCGCGGCCCGGCGGTGACAGATGGCGCATTGTCCCTGCATTCCTCCACCGCGCCTCCGCGGGCGCGGAAGTGGCCGCCCGGCGGCGCGACCCGACTCAGCCCGGGGACCTTTCTCTGCCGGAGAAGGGGCTCTCCATGGGCAGGAGAAGAATGGGACGGGCCGCGCCTAGCCGAAGTGCCGGCCCTGCCCGACGGGGCGGCCGCTGGAGCGGCTCCTGAGCGGGCTATGCCATTTCTTGCCCGAGAGCGCTCAGCAGGCGCCTCCTCCCCCGCCGGCAGCCCCAAAGCGCCGCTCCCAGCCC